AATTTTAAGGGGTGTAATAATGTTAGCATAGGTAAGTATAAGACTGTGTATACTATAAGAAATAGATCATATTTCTCCACTAGAAATATATTTCTCCACTTTTTGTGGAGTATATTTCTGGTGCACAGAATAAAAAGTACCCAAATCACTTTTGCCTTATGAAGTGATAGGACTGTGATGGTGTGTCATGTGTATATGTGTGTGTTTTAAATGTGTATATCATTTTACCTAAGCCCTTGTTTTGGATTGTCAGATATCTTGACAATTCTGTGGTGGGTGCTGATCACACATTTTGGAATGAAAGGAGCAGAGAGCCTTGTTTAGTCACTGTATGAACAAGCATGTTTGTTTCCTAAATAAACAGTCTTTGTTGAAAATTTATTAATATTCCAGTTATAAATATTTTGGGCTGGAAAAAATGTAAGTTTGGTTGGAGACCATCTAGAGGACTGACTTGACTGCTGTTTTCTTTTCAGGTCATCAGTCATGATACCAGAAGATTTCGGTTTGCTCTGCCAACGCCAGAACACATTCTAGGCCTTCCCATTGGTATGTTGTTTATATATCAAAAATGATAACTTCTTACGTTTATCTAAGTGGCAGAGAGAAGGCAGCAAAGGAAAATTAGATCTAGATCATTTGGTGGACTTGAAGAGCTAGGCTGGAAGGATTCCTTAGCAGCTGCTTCAGCTTTTCCTTTGCATTTCCAAACCTGTGACTGCTTTGCTCCATTGCTGAAAGGAGTGAGGTTCAGAGAAATGAGTTTCCTAGGGTTGGGATTTTCAGATTTTTTTTTAAAAAAAACTACAGATACCATAATTTCCCATTTTGGGAGCTCTACCTACCTTACAGGCAACTTGCCAATACCTGAATGTGATACATCTGGAAGGAAGGCCTAAATTAGGCTTAGCCAGGCTAAGCTCTAGCTGTATCCTGCCCTACAGCTACCTGGGAGCTTTCTTTCTGAGCAGGACATTTGGGTAGAGCTAAACCTCAAAGCCTTCTAATTTTGGCCTTTCTCACAGGTGCATCATATTCAGATATTTGCAAAAGGCCAGTAAGGTAGGTAGACCTCCTAGAATGGGGAATTGTATTATTTGTAGTTTAGAAAATGTAAACATCCCATCCCTAGACCTTCCCCCTGGCACTCTTTACCAAAGTTGTTGTTTTCAAATCATCTGTTACTAGTGGAAAGTAACTTGTTGATTTGTTTGAAAAATTGCCAAAAGTGGCAGGTAGTATTGTTCTTGTCTTACTTCTTTGTGTTTTATAGGAATTGTAGAACCTGCTTTCATGCATCCATGGCATGTGTAGCGGGCACGCTGGAGCCTCTAATAACTCAGGCCTCCAGGATGTGCTCACTCTTCTTCTCAGTTGCTGCCACCAGTATTTCAATTTCAATATCAATTACTCAGAGAGACCAGTGTTACTTTAAAACTTAAACTTGGTTATTTGATCAGTAAAATATAGTAAGTAAATCACCAGTTGATAATCAATTTCTCTCACTCACTGAACTATCTAATACACAGACTCTGCTCTCACTGACTCATTAACACACTGCCTTCTCACTCAGATCTCTACACTCCATCTCATCTGTCTCACTCCCAATTTCCCCTCACATCCATCATACACCCCTTTTTATCCCAGCCCCTCCTCCTGTAGGACCACCTTCCGTTCACTCATTGGCTGCTGTTCCACTGCTCAGCTGTGACGGACAGGTGAGGGCAGGGCTGAACGCTACAGCATGTTTCATGTTCTTTTCCCACATGGGAAACCTGACCTTTTATATAGCTAGCTAAACAAAAGGAGTTCCTCTCTTTTGAAATTTGATTAATATTTATGCTGGTCTAAGTGTGACACAACTAGTTACCTGGTAGTAGTTCACTGTTACTATTTACACATTGCATGTAATGCCTGCGTAAATAGCTCGTAGGATTCTGGCTGCTGCTTTTAAGGGACAGTCTACCCAAACTCACAGTGTAGCAAAATACTCTTTTGTCTCTTGACTTCTGCCCACCTCCCATTTGGATTTAAAAATAGCAGTGTGGGGAACAGAAGAAGAGCAGCACAGCTTTCACGGCCTGCTCTATGGAGCTTTTTGCCAGGAGACTGATCAGAGGGCACTCGTAAGCCCTAACCCCCTCCCCAGTTGCAGCACAGTTTGTTTTCTTGTTTGGGTAGCTGAGTGGTAACTTAATCCACAATTAAAGGCAGCTGCTACTTTGGTCTTCTGGAGACAGCCAGAGCAGGCGTTGCTCTGGCCCTCTTTGTTCAGATTCTGTAAAGGAATGGACAGCGGCAAGAGCAGCTGAAGCCACTGAAAACCAAAGGTGGCATGGTTTGTTTGTTTGTTTGTTTGTTTGTTTGTTTTAAAGGTTATACTGTGGATATGTGAGAGGTTACTGATGCAACAGATGCCAGGGGGCCCTTTTGAGCCATCCCTCAAGGAGGTAAGAGGGATGGTTTGTAGACAAAGGGCCTTTTCGGCAGCTGCCCCCAGACTATGGAAGGCCATCCCAAGTCAGATTCGTCTGGCGCCGAAGTTGATGATGTTTCGGCACCAGGTCAAAGCCTTCCTGTTCCAGAAGGTTTTTAATTGAAATAATATCAACTGTGGGTCCTGATGGCAATTTTTAGAGTACTGTATTTTTAATTGTATTTTAATTGTTTTATCTTTTTGCTGTATTTAAATTGTTGTAAGCCTCCCAGAGACCTTTGGGTAGTGTGAGTGGCATATAAGTTGAATGAATGAATGAATGCGTAATATTTGCAGTGAAATTAAAAGGAACAGAAGTGGCACAAGTGTCCAGTTTGTCTTTCTTTGTATTTGTGAATGCTTACTTGCTTTGCTTGCAATTCAGAAAATAGAAAATGCTGCAGGGTATTCACATTTTCTCCAGTGGCTCACACCTTTAGCAGTAGTCCATTGGCTGCACTGGCTGGGTTTTTTGGGAACTGCAGTCCAGGAATGCCTGGGTTACCCAAGGTTGGGAACCACTGCTATAGAGGAAAAATGCATAATTGGTGGCCCCCAGAATATGTTACCTGCCTAGAAGGTGCTCTTGTGGAAGAGAGAGAAATATGACTGGAACTACAAGCAGTTTTGGTGCTGAGCAAGTCTTGTCAGCTAAGTGCTTGGAGGGACAGTTAAATTAGAACAATCCTAGTGATGCCTTTTGAACTTCGGAGATACAGGTTCAGATCCCCACTTAGCAGTGACGCTTGCTGTAGGCCAGTAATTGTTTCTTGTTCTCACCTATCTTGCAGGCTTGTAAAAATAAATAGACTTCTAGTTTTGAGAGAGGGAATGTGGAGTAATAAAGATAAATAACTGGAAGAAGAACATGTTTCTTAAGTTGCTTTATAACTGTGCGATTAATGTAAGGAATCGCATAAGGGCATCCCATTGGATGAAGAAGCCTCTGTAGTACTATACTCGCCACCCTTTCAACCCCAGGCTGGGTGAGATCCAGAGGGTGCATGAATTAGCACTATGGGCAAGCTTTTCCACCTGTCTCCTTACCCAAGACAGAATTCTTTTCTGATTGTGCACTTCCTATTTTAGCACACTAACCAGACAAGGTAGACCACCCAGAATAATAAACTTAATGAACATACCCTCTTGGACAGGGTACCTTCTTAAGACACTCAAACCCTCTTTCCTCCAAGGATCACATTTGGGTAAAATGTGATATATAATTCTGTATATATCAGCGATATATAATTATGTTGTTAAAAAAAGTATAAAGAATTCAAAAAGGTAGTTGTACAGTTCCAAAACAATGCAAAAGCAATAAACAATGCATATCAGATGATTATTTATTTATTTATTTATTATTTATTTATTTGATTTATATCCCGCCCATCTGGTCTATACGACCACTCTTAATTAAGTGAGCTCTATGAAAGCATTCCCCATAAAATAATAAAAGCTAACTACTTCTCCCTAAAACTATTTTCCAGCTAAGTAATTAAGACTGAGTCTCTGCTACTGTGTCTCTATGCCTAATCCATCTCCTGTAGCAGACAGATGAAAGGATAGCTAGCTTGACAAAAAAGCAGCCCTTAACTAGCCTCTTGCTAGATCTTAAATCCATGTTCCTCCAATCCAATCCAATCAGGTTCACCCTCAAAATGTAACTTCTCTCAACCCCTCCTTTCAGTTCTCATGAGATCCTCTGCTAACAAGCAATTTGGAATGGAATGTGATGTCTCTGGCTCAGCATGGTCGGTCCTTGGTGCAGTCTGAAACAGAACAAAACAAGTCATCTTATGCAGAAAAGTGCCACCTGTAACAGCCCCGGGGAAGGACATAACCCATCCGATTTCCTCACAATTAACATGTCATATTTTGATTTACCTTTAGGGCAGCACATTTACCTCTCCACAAGAATTGATGGAAATCTAGTAATCAGACCCTACACACCAGTCAGCAGTGATGATGACAAAGGTTATGTGGATCTTGTTGTAAAGGTAAACACTGTCAATTTTAGCTACCGAGGGTTATCTATCAAGATCAATAATAATTTGAAATATGCTCTGAACAGTTACTTCTGTCCTGTATTTAGTCTTCTTTGTAACTTTTGTGTATAATCACAAAATATCTATAGTAAAGTTCTGTTGAACTGGATTTATAGTGTGTGTGAATGAGTGTGCAAGCAGACAGTGAGAAAGGTACACATCTGATCGCACCAGAAAGGCTTGCTTTGCTGGGAGTGATCTCTCTTAAAGTGGCCCTTCTATCCAGTGGGGATACGCCAGAAAGTAGTAGCCTTATGGCCGGAATAAAAACATTGGGGTTGGGCTGGAGCATTATTGCTTGTACTTCTTGCAATTACCAGGAAATAGTTCACACCAGACCTTGCCACAAAATCCGAACCATATGCCAGTTCGATCACACTCCAAGGCGTTTTTATCCTCCTCATGTTACTATGTAGGACCTTACGACTTTTGAAGGTTTGTAAACCAGTTTTTGTTTCCTTGCCCAAATTTTTGTTTCTTTCTCTCCTTTTCATATAGATATATTTCAAAGGTGTTCACCCCAAATTCCCTGAGGGAGGGAAAATGTCACAGTACCTTGAAAGCCTTAAGACGGGAGACACCATAGATTTCCGTGGACCCAATGGACTGCTTGTCTACAAGGGGAAAGGCAAGGCTGAATTTTATAAATAAGATACATTCCTACAAACCAGAGAATACAGCTTCTTTGCTTTGTCATTGGTCTTTTAGGAACAGAATGAGACTCCAGTCTTTCTTAAGGACAAGGAAAATTAATTCTGTTTAGGAAAATATGCTGCCACTTTGAAATGTAGTAAATAGTGGGTGGGGTGGGGGCCCCAGGGAACATTTTTCCACCCCAGCATTGCTACCAACCCCACATTGCCACAACAAAAAAAGTGGAGGAAGAGATAATGAAGAGAGTTTTTAAAAATCGTGCTCACATAGCCACATTTTGTTGGGGGAGATAATGGCTGCTTCTGGAGATTTCTGGCAACAGGCAGTGAACTTTCTTGACCAAAATATGCATCTTCTTTCCTAGCAAGGGAGCAGAGGGGCGGCCAAGGGGATTCAAAAAAGCCAGGAGGAGGACTTCATGCGGGCCATAGGTTTCCCTTTGTCCACTCCTGCTGTGCAAGGACCTGGGGTAGTTTATTTAGATGCAAAAGAAGTTAAGGCTTTTTTAGTAGGTGTACAGGAATTGGTCAGACCAGTTGGCAAGCAGAGGCATGAGAAGTGGAGGCTGCTGGAATCATCTCATGTAGAAAACTGCTGAAGATGGAGTCATCCGGGTCTTCCTTGTGTCTGTCTGGCCTTCCGAATAACAGAAGAACATGACATGACAAAAGTAAGACATGTAGTTCACAACACTGAAGAAAAAGGGGGTTGGGTTTTCGTTTTTGGCTTGATGCTGGATGGCCCATAACCTGATTGGCCACGATATGGCAATAGCCCTCAGAATCATCTTCACCATTAAAGGCGATAGCCTTTTCTTTCCCAGTAAACTGAACAGATATTACATGGGTCTTAGAGTTCCTTGGATCATCCAAATTGAGTGTGTAACGGGACAGACTGCTTATAGAGATACATTATCTCATTTTCAGACAATACAAAGAACTCTAAAAGTATACTTCCTAAGTCAGATCAGAAACCAAAGGAGCTCTGGGTGTATGCAGTTCCATTATGAAAATTATTGCAGTGAGCCTTGACTTTGCATACTCTGATCTGCAGTGGGAGGAAATACGTTGCGTAGTCAGGGTTTTTAACAAGCTACAGTCTCCTGTTCAGAAACAGGAACTGGTAAGTTACAAACCATGATTGATTTCCTCCCTTGATGGTGTAGGAAGAAGGAAGGGGGAGTGCATTTACTGCAGCACATTCTCTTAAGGTGAAGCCATAGTGGTCTTGCCTCTGGAAGCTGCCTTCAGGGTAGTGCATGATGTTCCCACCAGTCTTATCCCACTGCCCATTGGAATCCCTCAGAGAGGACATGAGGGTAAGAACTCGCCTGCACATGCTCCCCATGTTCAGAGAGGACATGCTGCCACAGAAATGGAGGTTAACATATGTAGCCATTGATAGTTTTATCCTTTTTTATAAGGATAACGGAGAGTATGTTCTTATCCTGGTGACAAAAAAGACGCAATAAGCATTTTTTTTTCTCCAGTTGACATCCAATCTCATTTCAAGATAGAAAAGAGTGTGCTTATCTGTTGTGTTTTCCAGTTCCTTCATTTGCATTCTGCATCTAACTCACAGATGTAATCCCTTAACCCATGTTCTTGTCATTCCTGCAGGCGTATTTGCTATTCGTCCTGATAAGAAATCAGAACCAGTTCTCAAGCACGTGAAATATGTTGGGATGATAGCAGGTGGAACAGGTATCTGAGAGACTTGTTTGCCTTCTTTCTTGCTGATGGTTTTCTTGTGGTCTTGTTGAGTTTTGTTCAATTCTGTTCGTTTGTTTTTGTTTCCTGGAAGGAATTACCCCTATGCTGCAACTGATCCGAGCTATAACGAAGGACAAAGATGATCCCACTGTCTGTCACTTGCTCTTTGCTAACCAGGTAAATAGGTGTCCTTGGTTTTACTTGTGGTGTGATGGTAAGATGAACAAATGGTTGTGTTTTGTCTGAGTGAAGAAAAAAAGTCAGTAGTGATGGTTGTTAATACAGCACAATCCCTAAGCGTGTTAACTCAAAAGTAAAGTCCACCATTTTCAGTGGCCCTTGCTCCCAGGTGAGTGTGCCTAGAATAGTGGCCTTAAACTTTTACCTTTAATTGCTCACAAGTGTTGTTCTTCCACGGTATCCCATCAGAACATGTGCAGTTACAGTAGCGGGTCTTGCAGACTGATATGCCATATGCTTGGCTGGTGTTTCAGAAGTTGTGAATTAACATTCAGCTATGCTGTCTGACAGTGGGTAACTTGCTAGCCACCCTGTGAATTGAATACTAGAGTAGACAGAGCTTTCATCTGTTCTAGCATAAAACCTTTCTAGTTGATTTAATAGGTCAGCATAAAGCTGAATAAACTAAGGGTGCACGACTGTGTGCGCATTTACCTTGGGAGCAAAGCACACCAAATTTAATGAGCCTTATTTTGAGTAGACATGTATAGGATTGCTGCCACTCTTTATTGTCTCATCTTTTTCCAGTTCATCACATCAGAATCAAAGTAACCTCAAGACCTAAACAAGCATGCCCTTAACTCACAGCCACACCTGCAATAAGTGGTTAAACCACTGTACTGCAGCCAAAACTGTGCTCACGACCTGGGGTTCAATCCCAGGTAGCCGGCTCAAGGTTGACTCAGCCTTCTATCCTTCTGAAGTTAGTAAAATGAGCGCCCAGCTCGCCAGGAGGTGGAAGGGGGCAATCTGTAGCCAACATAATTAACTTGTAAACTGTCCAGAGAGTGCTTGAAGAGCTGTGGGGCGGTATATAAGTAGCACACTTTTTTGTTTGCTTTTTTGAATTTAAAATTCAAGAATCACTTATCTGTATGCCATTTTAAATGTTGTACTCTTTATGTCTCGGTAGTGTTTATTAGTTTTCATTAATGCAGTGCATTCATTAGCTAAATTACTTTGACATTATCCATTGTGACATCTGCCTTGAAATATTCCTATCCAAGTATAGCCTTCCTGTAGCAGAGGCAGTTTTAGAAACAGTTTTTTTTTTTACCCAACAACAGGTGCAGATAAATTCTTCTCTGCAGCTCGAAATATAATAGTGTGTTGTTTGTTGCCAAATAATTTTGCATAATGTAACATTGTGGCTCTATATACAAATCACAATTACTCTCGAGTGTGTAGTGGGAGGCTTAAACATGGTCTTTCCATTCTTCTGTTTATTGTTGTTGTCGGGGCTCCTCTTCTTAAAGCGGGCACATGTCTCTGGATAAAATGGAAACTATTTTTTTTCTTCTAAGAGTGCTTTAATGAAAAGCTGTTTGTTACAGCATCCATTTCAGAAATCCTGGTAATTTTTTTCTGACTAATGTAATTGAAACTGGCCAGTAGTTTGCTGGTGAACTGTGGTTTATTTTCTGCTCATCCTTGTAACATAGGAATGTCTTAAATATGACTTAAAGCAAACTGTGCTGCTTGTATACTGCCCCATAGATTTTAAAACAGTCTTTGGGTAATTCACAATTTAATTATGCAGATTACACATTGCTCCCCACCACTACCCCCAACAGAGAACAATGTACTCAATTTACTGACTTCAGAAAGATGGAAGGCTGAGTCTACCTGTGCCTTTTGGAATCAAACTCAAGTTATGAGCAGAGTCTTGACTTCAGTACTGCAGTTTAACCATGTGCTGCAAGGCTCCGTAATCAGTGATGTGGTACATCTATCCCAATTTTAGGGTTTTTTCTTTAATGTGCAGTTATGTACAGTGGTGCCTCACTTAACGGGCACCCCGTTTAACGACGAATCTGCATAGCGATGATTTTGTGATCGCAAAATCGATCGCATTGTGATGTTTTAAATAGGAAAAAATCGCTTTGCGATGATGGGTACCCTGTTTCGCTTACCGATCATCGCATAGCGATGATTTTCCAACAGCTGATCGGCGGTTCCAAAATGGCCGCCGGGTAAATAAAATGGTCGCCCGCTGTGTTTTCGCCTGGATTCCTCACTTACCGGGCAGCAAAAATGGCCGCCGTATGGAGGATTTTCGCTTAAAGGTGAGTTTTAAGCTCATAGGAACACATTGAAGGGATTTCAGTGCATTCCTATGGGCTTTTTAAAACCGCATAGTGACGAAATCGCTTTGCAGCGATTTTTGCTGCATGGATTATCGTTGCTATGTGGGGCACCACTGTATAGTAATTTGCTACACTGTACTCCACATTCATAGTAGTATTTATCTCAATATATTATTGCCTCAGTAACAACTGCAGAGTCATCCGTGGTGGCTCTTCCAGTTTATGAGTTCATGATATATTATTAGCTCCTGTCCTGAATTTGCTTCTGCAATATGGGAAGCTGTTGCTCATGGAATTTTTCCATGCCCCAGGGATACCTTGGGATCCAGAACAAATGATTTGGCCTCTTTTGCCTTGTCTGTAGCCTAGTCCCTGAGGAGACAAATGCTGGGTTGGCAATGGTTATTTTAAAAGGAAATCTTGCTTTTTAACAAGGAATCTCTGCTCCCCTCTCTTCTCTACTTGCTGGGAAAGAAGTCTTGTTATTTTTCTGGCTCCCATTTTTTCCATGTGGATTGGGGCCTCTGTAACTAGTGAATGGGAAAGCTGAATGGAGACCACCCTGAAAGACTTGAGACCTATCAGGGGTTGCCACATGTAGTTGGTGTTGTTTCAGTTCAGTTAGGTACATATAGTTCATCATTCTCAAGTGCATAGGGTAGTGATTAGGGGGCTCCCATGGTACTTTAGCAATACAGAGTAAATTGCGTGATTATGTAGTACTGAGAGCTGCTAAAAGTGTTTCAGACCCTGCTTTGTGGGCTTGTATTTTGTTTTGTTTGGAAGCATTGAATCATTCCTTGGAACAAGAGGTGTGCTGTAGTTTCCCTACATCAGGAAATTGCTGCCCTCAAGTCACAGTGCAATCTTCAAGTGGTTTAAGACAATACTGTGAACTTTGCATTGTGACATACTGAGGGACGGGGTTATGTGTAGTGATAGAAACCTTTGTCCAATAAGGGCAGATTATGTCAAAATGGCAAAGTGAATGATGTCAGAAACAGACTGCCTGAATTATTTCTTGCCTAGAAATGTATTAAGTGCTAGGTAAAGGTTCCCTTGACATTTAGTCCAGGTGTGTCCGACTCTAGGGTGCGGTGTTCATCCCCGTCTCCAAGCCGTAGAGCCAGTGTTTGTCCGAAGACAGTTTCTGTGGTCACGTGGCCAGCATGACTAGACACGGAACACCGTTACCTTTCCGCCGTGGTGGTACCTGTTTATCTACTTGCATTTACGTGCTTTCAAACTGCTAAGTTGGCAGGAGCTGGGACAAGCGACGGGAGCTGACTTTGTCATGTGGATTTGATCTTACAACTGCTGGTCTTCTGACCTTGCAGCACAGAGGCTTCTAAGGTTAACCCACAGCGCCACCACGTCCCATGTATTAAGTGCTAGGCACAAAAAAAAACTTCAGTTGTGAAAAGTGAGGCAAGTCAATAGATAGTTCTTTCAAATTTGAGAGTGGCAGAATTTAATAAAAAAACTTCAATTGTGATAAGTGAGGCAAGTCAATAGATCTTTCAAATTTGAGAGTGGCAGAATTTAACAGGATAACTTTATGCTTTTTATTTCAACTTTATAATGTTTCTCCTTTCTTACATACTAAAAAATCGTGTGCTGGTGGTTTAATTCATTAAGGAGCTGAGAAATATAAAATGCAAGTGTGGTTCCCCCTCCCCCCACTTGTTTTAACAGACAGAGGATGATATCCTGCTGCGCCCAGAACTGGAGGAAGTCCAGGCTCAGCATTCAGCCCGCTTTAAATTGTGGTACACCTTGGATAGAGCGCCTGAAGGTAAGTACCTAATTATGTGACTGGGAGTGGTTCACACATCTTGCTTCTCTCAATGCTTATAATAACATGTCGTCTTCAATCTCTAAATGCGTAAACCATGTCCATTAAATTTCCAGTGTAATTAAACTATGCAAATCAGCCATTGCTTGTCAAATGCTGTATTTTCTGAAAGCACACACATCCTCCCATCCACGGTTGCCCATCATCATCTTACTTTCAATAGTAATAGCTAGTATTGTGTCGTATTTGGCTGTTGGCTTTTGAGGTTTTGTAGAAAGGAAGTATAAATAAGCATAAATATAATTCAAAATGCATAAGTGGCTAATGCTTTTTTTAATCAACTATAAATTCATGCAACATGAATGCTTTCAGGTTCCATAGCATTCTTTGGCAAGCTTATGGTCAAAAAGTTGCATTGAAGCAGGAGACGGGGAAGTGTAAAATGAGGCTACAAGGTTTGGTTTGTTGTTTCTGTTTTTTTGAATCATGGGGTTCTGCAGTTAAACTTAATCCAAACATGAAACTGGGGCTCTCCCATCTTGGAGCAAGATGAAATTGGACCCAGAATTGGTGTGATGCAGTGGTTAGAGTGTCAGTCTCAAGAGACTTGGATTTATACCTTATGGTTAGAGCGTCAGTCTCAAGAGACTTGGATTTATACCTCTGTTCAGCCACAGAAATTCCCAGCAAAGAGGGGATGTGGCAGTAGTTGATCACTCCTTGAACATCTCACATACCTTAGAAATTCTACTAGGATTGTCATGAGACATGGTCATGCAAGTAAGATCTTTGGCAAAGATGAATGAGAAGATGACAATATAGAGATTTGCCTTTTCTGCAAACAGAAAGACAATAGAAACCTAGGCCTGTGCATCTAACCTTAGTAATAAATGCTTTGATTCTGTGTGTCTAGATACCACTTAAAACTGTGGTCTTCTTTTTTTCAGGTTGGAATTACAGCCAAGGATTTGTGAATCAAGATATGATTAAAGACCACATGCCCCCACCACAGGATGATGTTCTTATTCTGATGTGTGGTCCTCCTCCTATGATTCAGTATGCTTGCATTCCAAACCTTGATAAACTGGGCTATGCCAAGGAGATGAGGTTTGCCTACTAAATTGGATGAGTAACAGGATGAAGTCAAATGTGTATGTGGGTGAAGGAGTGTGGAAGGAAGCGCTTTGGAACAACAGGGATCAAGACTGAAAGCAGAGAAAGTGGCAGAGCCATGGAGCTGCATTCAAAGGGGCAGCCAAATAGTCTGTAGAAGTTTGGTGTCTCTCTATTAGCGCCATGCTGAAAATTCTGTAGACTGATAACTGCGTTGTATATGGTATTTTTAGCTTTGCTGTGCTTGTCAAACCAGTAATAAGGCCACTGGAGTATGTTTAACTGTTTCATGATAGATCAAATAAATTAGATGGTTTGTTGCAATGCCAAAGAGTTTCTACATTGCAGGATACCTGTCCGTCAAACAGGGTTTGGGAAAGTTTCTTCTTGGACTGCAACTTCCAGAATCCCCAGGCAGCACTGGGTAGGCTGGCTGAGGATTCTGAGAGTTGTAGTCCTGATTTCTCAGTTCTAAGATATGAAATATTTTTTCCTCTTCTGCCAAAAAGCTTTAGAATGAGAGGGATAAATGCAGTTGTATTAAACGCACATTTTCCATTAATTAAAATGACATTGCTGCTTTTATTTCAAGATTCACAGTAAAATTAATTATGGGGAAACTGTTTATTTGATTCAGATTCATAAACACCATGTACACGGAGAACGCAATGATGAGTTATCTTCAATTTTTACATAATTTCATCTATTCTGTAATTCTCATTACAGAATAGTATCCTCCACATTTCTTTCTTCTTTACCGTTCCCAAGGCAGACGTTAGTTACAAGTATTCCTTCATCCTTCTTAATCTGTTTGATTGAAAATAGTCCCTGAGGTTGCAATACTAAACACCATTAGGAGAAAGGAGGTCCTTATGGGTATTTTAAAATGCAGTTTTTACTTTGGATATGTCAGTTTTTCCAGTGATACAATCTAGTAAGATAAAACAGTGAGTTGAAAATAATTGAAAAGGAGTATGTGTTACCTGAACTTCAGTGTAGGGATATGTATTCTTGTCTAAAATGATTTTGTACTTAAAAATAAACTCCCAGTTTCCACAATATTAAGGTTCTGTATCGTCATCTACATGAAAACAGACTCGTCAGAATGCTGTTTCCAAACGTGGTGTATAATGCTGTACGATCTGCAAGAGGTTTTGTGCTTTTTAAAGTAGTCCTTTTATATAAAACCACTTTTCTTTTGTGAGGCAAGCTAGTGGGACACTGAATATTGTTTACTTAAACAAAACAAGCCATTTTGTGGCAGGATTTCCACAAAAGTGAAATTTAGTATCCAAATGTTGTCAGCGCATGCTAACACTTCACGTTCTCAAATTGGCAACACTTCTGATATTGTCTTCTTTTCAAGCCACACTGAAATGAGGTGAGGTGCAGGATAACAAATGTTTGTGACCGTCTCCCATTCACTTCAAGAGGATCTATGTGAGGAAACTAGCAATTCTTGCCTTTAGTCCCCATTCACTTTACAAAGAATGGTGGTGCTGAAATTTGTTTAGACCCACTTTTAAAGGCTTGCAACTCAACTGCAACTGCACCTTATTTTTCCCATTTCTAGCCTGTTTCTCATCTGTCCTTTTGTCAGCGCCTCTTAAAATTGAGCAAACAAATCTTTTTAAAGGCTTCAGCATACCTCTCCCCTTTTCCTAAATTTATATGCCAGGTCTTTCCTTCATGACAAAGTGCAGCTCCCTGTGACTCTCCTTAAAGCACCCAGGTGAGCCATCATCCCCTAGCCTTTCCAATACATTATATATCACACAAGCATGTATCAGAGTTTATAAGGAAGAGGCAAAAAGATACTTAGGATTAGGGGTAAGCATGCTAAGGTCCTGCAATGAGGTTGCATGTAGAGTTAGGATTGCAACCTGGTCCTCTAATTAGCAGGGCCAGTAAATCGCATGAATGCAGAGGCTGGGGGCAAGATGAGCTTGACTAGGGACACCAAGGTAAAGCTGTTTTCAGTTCGTTCTTTAAATGTCATTCACACAGTTGTTAATGATGTCCTGTCTGGTCTTTGGCCTAGTTCTAGTAGAAACAGCAGAAGGTTGAGGAAAGGAAACTTCGGAAATGCTCTACGGCTGTGTGCACTTAGTTCCTTGGTTGAATATGCTCTAGTAGCAAAAAATAAACCGAAGTTAATGTAAACTATCTTTTTTGTGCATTGTTTATATCACTGTGGACAGAGAAGCCTTTACTTTTATTAAATATGTACTGAGTCACTCTGCCTCAGTTCATTTAAATTGTTTTGTATAGCTTATTTTGCCTATTCAGCTGTCCTTTTTCTAACTACTTGTGGTAGAAATAAAATCAGTTTTGCTTATCACTTATTTCAGTGGATTTTCTCTGTTTGGTTGACCCTGCTTTTTAACATTTAAACCCTTTTAAAACAATTCTCAAAGATGGCTCATAAAGGAAAGAAGAACCAGATATTACCTCATTTCATCTAGAAGAGGAAAATATGAAGAAAAATTCATGGTGAGCAAAAATAGAACAAACCTTGTATAAAAAACATTTTGTTGAAGTTGAAATTAAAGCGCCTAAGTACTTCAGTAAATAGCATTCCTTTAGAAATGAGCGTGCACACATAATGCCGAAATGGCTTGCTCGATATTAAGGCTGAATTACACAAAATGAACATCCTGCTTCAAAATATGGGATTTTCTATGTGTAAGGCAATGTATTGGGGTGGTTATATATAAATTGCAAGTATATAAAAAATAAGAAAACATCCTTTGCCATGCACCTTATGCATTGCGTGGGAGCTTTGCTTTTCTGTTCCTCTTCCTACTTTTTATCAAACTACTTTTTATACAGCAGCAGGTTATACTCCTGTGAGTTTCACTAAGGGAACATGTTTTAAGAATGCCACTTCCAACTGGATCTAGCGTCCATTGCAGAGTTTGGAAAAATTAGGTGGTGTTTTTGTTTTTGTTTTTGACCCCAGTGGACATGCTGAAAGATTCTGAGAGCTGTAGTCTGCAAAAGTGGCATTCCCAAGCTTAGCTTTTTAATGATCAATGCACATTTACCTGCTTACTCTGACAACTGCAGACTCATCCAAGTCATAATTTCCCAGCCCTGCCCCTCCCTCTGTTTTGCAGGCTGCAGATCAGAGGAAGTGTTTTTGGGATGCATGCCAAACCGGCAAAAATAGCTTTTGAACTGGTAACTTTATATTTCTGGGAAAATATAAGCCTTGGGAATGACAGCTGTTACCGTAACTCTTCACTGCCTTGGATGATCACTGTGACAACTGTTGACTACACCAAAATCTGTGGCCTTTAACAGAGAAAACGTGGACGCCTAACTAAGGAACTGCCTGTAGCAGAGTTTAGATGCTACACAATTATTCTCCACCCTCAAGACTGCTTGTGCCCCACTGGCTTAAGAAATAGCAAAGGATCAGGATTTCAACCTCAGCAGCTGCTGCTCCTTCATTCTCTCAGTAGCAGTTCCTTATGTACAAACAGGGCATGTCAGAGGAGGAAGCCCAGGGAGCATTTATTGGTGGTTGGTTCTGTGTGCATAAAATGTTAAATCAGGGGTCAGGGAACTTTTTTACCTTTTACCCCCCAAAAATTTATATAGGCTGACATTGCTCCCTTGATTTGAAAGGAAAGAAATTGTACATTATTTTAATTCAAAATACTATCGAATCTACACAGGCAGTGTACCGAACTAGAAGGATATATCATCAGTAACAATGGCTGCCAGGCTATGTACTGAACTAGCAGGATGCACCAAATTTAATAAAGATGTGCACTGTTTTTGCTGGAACACATTGCACTCCAGCCATGGGGTAATATAGGGGGTAGTAAGGTGCCCAATGTTCCTAGCAAGTTGCATTGCATTTTTTCTAGCTCGCAGAGGATTTAATCATCAATGGCTGCCAGAGTGGTGCTAGCAATGATGTGTTTGCTAGAGACAGCAGACTTCCGAGTTGGGGGGGTTTCCTACCACTTTAATCATTGTGTGTGGTGTGCAAAAAGGAACAAACAAGGCTAAAGGTCATGTCACCCACCCTGGTGCCACAGCCCAATATCAAAGGACCAGTGCACTATTTTTTTATCATCAATGGAAAATTTAGCAGTGGCCAGAGGACTGGAAGATTGGTCTACATCCCAATCCCAAAGAAGGGCAGTGCCAAAGAATACTCCAATTACTGTACTAATTGCACTCATTTCACTCGCTAGCAAGGTTATACTCTAAATCCTCCAAGGTATGGTTCAGCAGTATGTGGACCGAGAACTCCCAGAAGTACAAGCTGGATTTTGAAGGGGCAGAAGAACTCGAGACCAAATTGCTAACATGCGCTGGATTATGGAGAAAGCCAGAGAGTTCCAGAAAAATATCTACTTCTGCTTCATTGGCTATTCAAAAACCTTTCACTGTGTGGACTACAGCAAACTACAGGAAGTTCTTAAAGAAATGGGAGTGCCTGACCACCTTATCTACTTCCTGAGAAACCTATACGTGGGACAGGAAGCAACAGTTAGAACTGGATATGGAACAGCTGATTGGTTCAAAATTGAGAAAGGAGTACGACAAGGCTATATATTGTTCCCTGGCTCATTTAACTTATATGCAGAATACATCATGCGAAAGGCCGGACTGGAAGAATCCCAAGCCGGAATTAAGGTTGCCGGAAGAAATATCAACTACCTCTGATATGCAGATGATACCACTATGATGGCAGAAAGTGAGGAGGAATTAAAGAGCCTCTTAATGAGGGTGAAAGAGGAGAGCGCAAAAAATGGTCTGAAGCTCAACATCAAAATAAAAAATAAGATTATGGCCACTGGTCCCATCACCTCCTTGCAAATAGAAGGGGAAGATATGGAGGCAGTGACAGATTTTACCTTCTCGGGCTCCATGATCACTGCAGATGGTGGCAGCAGCCACGAAATCAAAGGATACCTGCTTCTTGGGAGGAAATCGACGACTTGTCAGAAAGATAAATAAAGCAAATTGTGAGTTTTCACTAGAAGCTAAAATTACCAAACAAAGGGTACTGTACTACAGTGGCATCATAAGAAAACAAACTCACTAGAAAAGGCAGCAATGCAGGAAAAAGTGCAATGCTGTAGGAAAAGAGGAAGAATGTACATGAGATGGATTGACTCAATAAAGAAAGCCACAATCTTTGTTTGTAAGACCTTTTGTTTGGTGTTGCAGTCAAAGCAGGACCAGGAGCAGAGAGACAAGGACTCAGATTTGGGGAATAAACTATGATACTCTTGCTTGCTTTGGGGATGAGAAACAGAGAAACGCAATTGCTACACACTTCAGACATCTAGTCCCAGGTGTGTTGGTTGTCTTTTACTCGGTGTTTGCTGTTAGCGAGACTCTTCTAAATATTCTGGTTCTGCCCAGTACAAATTTAGCATCTAAACATAATCTTGAAATACTTGCTCTTCTCAGCAGAAACTACAGAGCTAAATGCAGTGGAGATTAAATTTTAGAAGGTTCCTCTTTCATGGTTTTATGAAAGAGTAAAGTCTCTCTCTCTCTCATGCACACACACAAACATACACACACACACAAATCCTTCTTCAATTTTCAACAATTAGTTGCTTCAATTCGGTATGTCCATTACCTCTCATTACATTTAAACAAGCTTGAAACCACCCTTTTCGCCCCTTAATTCAAGCCTTCCATCCTTCTTGCCTGTTCCTTTTTTCAGTTTTGAGTTTCTCTTTCTCTCTCTCATACACACACATCCACCCACCCAACCTCTCTCAATTTTCCTTCTTCAATTTTCAACAATTAGTTGCTTCAATTCGGTATGTCCATTACCTCTCATTACATTTAAACAAGCTTGAAACCACCCTTTTCGCCCCTTAATTCAAGCCTTCCATCCTTCTTGCCTGTTCCTTTTTTCAGTTTTGAGTTTCTCTTTCTCTCTCTCATACACACACATCCACCCACCCAACCTCTCTCAATTTTCTACATACTGTACATTTAAACAAGCTAATGAAACCACCCGTCACTCTCTCACACCTTCCTTCCCTCCTTAACGAGTTTTCCCTCCTCCTGCTTGCAGTCACCTCCCGGAAGCAGTCATTCACAAGCCAGATTTGACTGCCCGGGGCTGTTCTACAGCTGTAACCAATCAAGCAGCCTTATCTCTGATCTCTAAATGAATGAAGGATTTACAATTGTACAACCAATGAAGGAGGGAGGTGTGGCTTCTAGTTTGAGGTTCGGCTGCAGGGGGTGGGAGTGGGGGGTAGCACTCTGCTCATTACCCCCAGGATTTTCATTTTTATCCCATTTGGGGTAATTTATCCTTGTTCCCCAACCACAGTGTTAAAATGATTTTACTGCAAGAATGAAATGGCTGGCTTCAGAGAAAAAATGTCAGGTATTTGGCACTTTTAGAATTTTCCATTTGAAGACTTCATGGCCTTGTGATCTTAATTAAAAGTGAAGGACTGCTGACTTTGCTAAAAACTCCACCTGTCTGAAGCAGGTATGGGTATCCTATCACATGGTTTGGCTCAAACCAAGTCATACACCCACAGTGTTTCCAAGGCCAAGCAGGGAATTGAACCTTGTTCTCCAGTCTTGGCTGTCACTTTATCCACCACTACACACTGGCTGGATGTGTAAACAGTCACTTTATCACTACACTTTATCACTTGGCTGTCACTTTATCACTACACACTGGCTGGATGTGTAAACAGTGGTTTAGATATCTGGCTGCAAAGCCAGAGATTGGAGTTCAATTCCCCATTGTGCCTTCAAGAGGAGAGCCAGCCTGTGTGGCCTTGAGCAAACTGCATAGTCCCATGATGCCCCCAGAAGAAAAGAATGGTAAAGTGCCACTACACTTTATCACTTGGCTGTCACTTTATCACTACACACTGGCTGGATGTGTAAACAGTGGTTTAGATATCTGGCTGCAAAGCCAGAGATTGGAGTTCAATTCCCCATTGTGCCTTCAAGAGGAGAGCCAGCCTGTGTGGCCTTGAGCAAACTGCATAGTCCCATGATGCCCCCAGAAGAAAAGAATGGTAAAGTGCCCCCAAGTATTCTCAGTTTTAAAAACCCTGAAAAGGGTTATCATAAGTCAGGCTCCCAAGTATTCTCAGTTTAGAAAACCCTGAAAAGGGTTATCATAAGTCAGAACTGACTAGACAGCATTCAGACTTACTGTTATGTTATGGTGATGTAATATGTGAATCACAACTTTTTAGTGCTTTATATGGGATTCATACTGTATTTCTAGTCGGTAACTACAAAACTCAAGGAGATCTGTGATTTCCTTACTCAAAAATACATCTATGTGTAGCTTTATATGGGATTCATACTGTATTTCTAGTCGGTAACTACAAAACTCAAGGAGATCTCCTGTGACTTCCTTACTCAAAAATACATCTATGTGTAGTATTTGTAGTGGTCTTTTTGCAATGTATGCGTTCAAAGTACAGACTTCTTGACAAATTCCAACAGGTTTTATTTTAAGTGAAACTTGGGCCACTTTTGAGAATTAACATTCAGCAGCTACCTGGCGTATTAAATTCCATATCAATCAGATCACTAATTGCAGCCTGTGACTTCCTTACTCAAAAATACATCTATGTGTAGTATTTGTAGTGGTCTTTTTGCAATGTATGCGTTCAAAGTACAGACTTCTTGACAAATTCCAACAGGTTTTATTTTAAGTGAAACTTGGGCCACTTTTGAGAATTAACATTCAGCAGCTACCTGGCGTATTAAATTCCATATCAATCAGATCACTAATTGCAGAGATACACAATACCATTGTCCAACTTCCCCATTTTCAGATGTGCCTTTGCAGCTAAAAACTAGTGGGGCTTATGAATCCTGAATGCCAACAGCATCTTTCCATGACCATCATCCTCTGCCCTCATCCCAGCTCTATGTTAAAACTAAATCTTGCTTCATGGATAAGCCATATAAAAAACAGAAGTGAGGGGTGGGGAGCGTGCAGTTTACCAAAGATTGGATTCCATCCCATTGGCACGGGCTGGGAATGATGGGAGCTTCATCAATCAGCCCCATCTACAGGCTTCATCGTACCCACCCATAAAGTTAAACTATTTCATAAGTCTTACATTCTGCATACAAAATTCCATCACAAAAGTTGCTGTTCATTAAAAAGAAGCTGAAGTCACTGAAAATTCTGAGTTTACTGACTGTGCTCCTCTTACAACTGTTGTTCTAGAGATATGGACTTGTTGGTCCTCCAGATGTTAGCCAAAGTGAGGCCTGGTGGGAGTTGCAGTCCAACAACTGGTGGACTGCACTTTCCACATCTCTGTCCAATTCCATGTGAAGAACGAAGCACAAGGCATCTGGCATTTTCACAGGCCAGCAGAGCACTCAATTATTCCTTACATGTCAGGAGTATAACAGCCAGTTTAACTGACAAGGGAAATGCATCTCTCTTGAACAATGTAGCAGGAGCAGGCAACCTTGTTAGACACATTTAAACATACAGAGTGACAACTGAGGGAAGGCATCAAACATATTTTAATATAACATTCCACTTGGACACAATCACGGATACAGAGCAAAAAGAAGCAGTTGGCTGCTAAGTGCTCTGGAAATAAATGAGACTTATTAAAAGGAACTCATTCTATAAAACAGCAAATGTTTACTAGATCACTATAGTGTTTCCCAGTTATTATAAAACCTGAGGTGGTGGTCATTCATAAGCGATTGCATGCGCTTTACAATTACCTTGCAGTTCAAAAGTTCTTGCTCACTCTTGCAAAACAAGGTGAACCTCGGTATTGAATACAAAGGCATATGAACAGATCATATATTTTTAAGGACACTCTGTTCTTGAGGTTTGTTTTTTTAATTGAAACATTCCATCTGGAAAACATATTCTGTTGAAATGTGCAGCTGAACTGGAATCCTTTAGGAGTGGAGACATATAGCAATGTTTGATTCCTGTAAATAATCATGATGACAGAAACAAACCAACAAGCCAGATCGGTTTTTATGAATAGGTATGGAGAAGAGTTGGAAGGAGTACTCTACTACTTCAAGAGTGGAAGGTTTGAAGTATGTAATCAAGAGATTAAAGAAAATTAATGTAAACCTTTCCCACCTCCCTCAATCCATTTTTCTTAGTGAGGCAGTTTTCCAGCATCTCTTTAGTAGAAAGAAAACTATCAGTGGTCAAAACAAATTGTTGAAGTGTATTCTCACCAGACGAAAGGTTTTTCCGTTTTTCCTTTTGGATGCTCTCTAGAAGAACTCCTCTGATGTCTTTGGGCTTTCCTGGAACTCCAAAGATTATGAACAAACCAAGGCAGTCATGTCCCACCAGGGTAGAAAATTCTTCCAGCTTTTCAAACCGGCTCTTGTTCCGGAAAAGCTCATCTGCTAACATTGCCTCCCTGTTATTGCCCATGGCTTCAAAAGGCTGGCCTCCACTGGGGAGATCACCCATCTGTAGAGACTGCACAGCAATCTGAAGTCGAATCTGCTTGTCAGCTCCAGAGAGAGTCCAGATCCAGTCGACTCCAAAAAGCAAGGACTGCTGCTTGGTCATCTTGCTGGTTGTGATACGCTCTTCTACACCTTTCTCAACACAGAAGCTAATGAAGTTGACCAGAAAAATCTCATTTAAAGTATCAGTGGCTGGATAGAATTTACTTTGTGGATCCTCAAATCCAAGATACTCTTTCAGCTTCTGTGATGCATGAACCACTCCTTGGCTGAAAACATCACAGATAACCAGGATGTCAGCCTTACTCTCTTGGTTCGTTTCCTGCGATACTTTTTGGCCCATCTTCTCTTCATGCAAAATGCCCCCCAAAGTAATGCCTTTTGATTCAGGTTAAACGTCCAGGTCAGGAAGCTGTCCCAATAAGCAGGATTTATGGACGAAAAATATTCTCACCAAAAGCAACACCATGCTGTGCAAATTGGTCAGTTTCTCGATTGTTGGAACTGCACTCTGGGTGTGTCCTCTTCCAGCTCAGAAACTAGTCAAACTGGCTTCCTTGTTTTAAAATATCAAGACTTCCTTTGTGTGTTCTTGGCACTCCCCACTCTCTTTAGTGTTAACACTGGCAGTGCCTACCTTATCACGCAGGTGTAGACACTGTAACAGGAAAGGAAAGACTTTGTAACAGGAAAGGGAAGGGATATGAATTTCAGTGCAGCAGGGATCTGGGGATGTTGAGAGAAAACATTAGCCAATTCTCATGGGGATTATTCCTCATACAAGTACATGCTTTATCAAGAAAATACTCTGTAAGCGTAAAGACCAAGGAATACAATAGAATGCAAATGACATTCAATAATATATGCCAAGGACAAGGGGTGGGTTGAACAGCAATGCCTTCCGGTGACAGGAAGAGAATAACCTGTCTAGAAAATATGATCTGGCATGTTTAAACCAGCAGATGCCATTCTAACAAGAATAAATCACTTTTGTCCCAATTCATAACAATTTTAACTATGACTATGCCACCCTCATAAGAATTAGAAACTGCATAATGCCTAGTATTTAATAAATCCAACTTGGCTTCTAACTATCCAGGGCTGTAGTGTGTGCTGTTACTTATATGATTGTTGACAACTGCAAATAGGATATGTGTCACCGTACTGTCATTGTTTAATACCATATCAACTTGCTAACATGTTTTTAAGTTTTAACAATACTTTTAATTCTACAAACCCAAGGCTACATGATGTATGATTGGCAGCTGGCATGTATGTTTCCTTCATTTTTTCCTAACATGTCCTGTTGCATTACATAAAGTTTTCAGTCTCCCCATCAGAATGTGGCATTGGGGCATGGCCCAGGCTTATCTCATGCCTCAGCTGACCACTACAAGTCAGCCAAGAAGCACAACAGGCCCAGTTTTAATTCCCATCATGGCATCCTAGACAGACGGGTTAAATCGTGTCACTGTTCACAACTGAGATTAAGTCAACGTTGGACATGGGAGAGAGAGTAAATTGGGCAACTGCCGGACTGGAGAACCTCATGCAAAACGCTTGGCCTGCAGGCATAAACTTATATCATAACGCACAAGGTAAGCTCTCTCAGCCATCCGATTCTCCCACCAATGTAAAGAAAAAACTCACAACACAATTACTGAGTCAAAACTATGAGTCATAACTAGCATATAGAGCAGTTCAGTACGGTGTGTGCTAACACTAGCCAGTTATAACCAGCAATTCAAAGCAAATGGACCATCCAACAGGAACTTATCACCATTTTTATGCGAAGGTAAATTAGTTCTCAGAGAAAACTCTAAACATATTTCAAAACATTTTTACCTTTTTTATTCATACTTCTTCTTGGGCAACAGCATACCATATATCAAGGAGGTGTCTGCTCTATACATAGCTTCATTTAATAGTGTATTTCTGTTGCTTATAGTGTGCACTTCTTTTTTATGCAATGAAAAGTAAATTCCATGATCTTTTCACAGGCACAGGAACAGCAAAAAAAGCTTTCTTATTCAGTCTCTGTTCTACAGCAGTATCTACAGCAGATTGGATAACAATGAAATTAATAGAGAAGGCTTATTTATACAGAAAGTGCAGCATCATTGGTTCTGAAAGGAGGGAAATAATTTTGAAGGTTTTAGAGAATAAAAGGTCTAAACTCTAAAGGGCTGGGTTTTATAAGAGAAACAGTCTGCCAAAAACATTATTTCTGTGCTTTTCTGCAAATATGATACAAAACATTAGGAACACTTCATTTCTCACAATAGGTATTTATTTAAACATGGCAATACACATACATTTATACGGACTCCTTTGTACTCATGAAATCCAATAAAATATCATACTTCATGTCTGCACACTTATGTTAATCACTTGGCTTTAATTATAAGTGTTTTATATTACTCTTCCCTTTTCCATAGAAACAAGAAAATAAGAACTATTCTTCCAACCAATAAAATCCTGTATAAGTAAAGTTAAACCAAACTCAATTTACATTTTTTGAAATATGAGAAATCTGATGTTGTCCATACATACAACATTTTAACGTGGAAACGCCTTCCATTTTTTAAAAAAAATTAACAATTATTTGATGCTTTTATGTGAACAGTATTTGCCAGAACTGTAAAGCCAGGTTATAGGAAGAAGCTGAAATACACTGGTCCAAATCCTCTTCCTTAGTTAAACTGGCATAATACAATCGGTATAATGTTTGGAGGCGAATTACTTCAAGTTGAGAAATCACCACAGACGTTATTTTCATACTGAGTCGCACAACTCAGCATACAACTGGTTATGTCTACTGTGACTTCTTTACTTGACCAATTTGCCTCCAAATGATACGTTATTTGTGTAGTTATGCAAGAGGATTTGGGCTGCTGTTACTTAATGGTTAAAATCCAACCTTAGTTCTACCTACAAAAGACCAAATGAAATGAATGAAACCTGTCTGAATTAAGTTTCTATTCCTACTGACTTCCATGTGTCTGCTGAAAACAGAACTAACTTTGTACAGTTTTCCTTTTTCTTTTTTAATGTATTGACCTCATGAGGCTACTAGTAAGTTCTTTTTATAGGCACAGGATGTGAATCACTTAATTCATAAATAAATTTATTCACAGTTAATGACAGAATAGTAATTCTACAGTGAGTGCCATCTGCATTTAGTCAAATTAGCTCAGACAATAAACAAAATGAAGTAAACATGAACAAGTTTGTAATGTCCATGTTATTAACAACTGACAGTCCATACTGAACATGTTCTTTGGGTGTTTCCATCAGCAGAATGTGGAAAAGGAACAGGTGACCAATCTCCTTTCCCTCTTCAGTCATGTGTGCCCTCAAAATCTGCTCCTGAGTATTGGAAAACCAGAAGAACATTGACAGGCAGAGAGACAGTCCTATCATGCAGGCCAACATCCACCAGCACAGTGCTGCAGGTATAATGGCAAAGGTCTTCTTTAATACTTGACAGGAAACATAATACAATTCATTTCATTGCAAATCTGAAAACTGTAAATGTATGCAAAGCAGGACATTGAAAGGCTAACTTATGAAGTCAGTCCAAGAGCCAATCTATGCATGCAAACAAATCACTAGCTAGAGAATTCCATTTCAGATTACCAATGGAAGATATCTATGTCCCTTCCCCAACAAAAGGCAAGCAGAAAATTAGCATGTCAGGAACAATGCCTTAATGAATCAATGCCTTTAAAAAATGAAACTTTCACGGACAGATATTTTTATGTAGATGAAATATGTATTTTTCCCTAACTGCAGTTTGAAATTGATATCCCCAAGAATGTGCCACAAGGTTGAGCTGAATGAGTATATAGGCCTCAAATGGCCATTTACCACTAGCAGTACCTGAGTACATGCAAGAAGACCTGTTTAGCACTCTTGCTGAGATTATGGTTACCGATTGTAATGCAAAATGAATGAAGCACAGAAACTGGCATCTTCAGTATGAACAACTACTTTCTACAGTATATTTCTAAATTTTATCATACTGTGCATGATGCAAATTAGTTTTCAGTATTTCAGGGCAACAGTGAAGAGGGAAAAGAGAAAGCAAAACATTCAGCTAAAAACATGAACAACTTTTCATTGGCTAATTAGAATTTTACAAGTTCAATAGTTCAAAAAAGTCAGTAATGCACTTTTATAAAAATGAAGCATAAATATCAGTCAGTATGTTAACAGTCAATTATACTTAGAAGACAAGACTCCGCATCTGAATGTAATACTGCAAAATAATACAGCTGGGGTAATGATTCTTTCCATATCAATTCAAAGAAACCTCTGTTCCAGGATGCAAGAGGGAAAATGTACACAGAAGCCACAGAAAGTTTATCAGTTGCCAAACGTTTTTCAACATCAAATTTGCAATGACCTTTTTAAAAAGTTATTAAAATCCTATCTTAAACCTGGAAAAGGATAGCTCACAGATAATTCTGCAACAGAAAACCACAATTTTCATCAAGTTCGTCTTAACATAAGAATGCAGGCAACACTTTTGGGTGGTGGTGGTGGGTATAAGCCACTTATAAAGTCAGTCTGATTTTTCCAGTAACCAGCTGGTTTTCAAACTGGAATCCTCTTTTTTTAAAAAAAGTTATCACCTTACATCACAATATAAAACTTTTGATTTGCATGTACTCAATACATTTTTCTTTTTATTAATAAAAACTGTATATAAAAAAAACAAGACCAACAGGATTTCAATTTTGGGGATTGCATGACTGGTATTTAAGTCTGATCAGTTCATTTAAACTGGAAATGAGAAATTTCAGATTTGTTTGTTTTCTGCTCAGATATTTACAGTAAATTGCAGGTCTGCAACTGAACCGAGCATTTTTCTTCTTCTTAATATACCTGAACTAAAAACAAACGAGAAAAATAACCCAGATATATGGCACAACTATGTGCAGGAGCATTATGGCAGTATAGTCATATTAAATATGATGTTTTGAAATATGCCACTAGTTTCTATAGTACAGGAAAAGAAATACATGTTTCTCCCCACTTAGCGTGTGTCCTGACTTGTTTGTGCCACCCTCCCCTATGTTATGGCAACATTAGAATGGGCACCTCTTGTCCTCATTATTCCTCTGAAAATGATAACTTCCAACAAACAGAAGCAAAAGCAACCCTAAATTACATAATGCACTGTCTCCATCACCATCCAGAAATGACACTCTTGAGCAGGACGAAAATACAGAGGGCTCCTGCGCTGATGCTGTCACACATTTGAATCTTCATCTGTTATACTTGTGCTAGGAGAACATGCTGCAAAGTCCCTGAACATGTCATCTTCTTTTAGCATATGCTGAAAGCAGAAGAAAGGGAAAAATTGGAATCCTTGCCGAAACCCAGGGGCCAAAAAACAGAGGCATATCAGTGTCTTGCCTGTACTCCCAGTCTCCCTTCTGACCGCACGTAGCTCAAAGGCAAGGAAGGGTTACTGCCCAGTTGAAGAGATATACTGGGCCAGATTGATCAGTGGGGCCTTGGTCAACTGAAGCATGAAGAGAGGCCACAACCGTAGTGGCAGAGTAGACGTTTTGCATGCAGAAGGGTGCAGGTTCGGTCCCCACCTAGCCCCGCTTAAAGATCTTGGATCAGAAGGATGGGAAAGTTCTGCATCTGAGGTGATGGTTAGAGCTGGACAACAACAAACCAAGCGTTCCAGCATGAAGCAGCTTCATGATCTGTGCTGGAAAGCTTATGCAGTCGCACAAAACAACAGTTTCCAGGACAATACTGAGGAAAGATATACTTCTTAAATTGGTGCAGATGTAGGCCAGTATCCTACTAGGCTTTCACTCAGTGGTAATGTCCACCAATGTTAGCATCATGTGGTCATGCTAAAGAATGCTTGCGCAAGCATTACCACTGCACAGGCAGTGACTTCCATGAAGAAAACCTGTCCCCTTCCACCCCACCTTCCAAAAGGTAATACTTCCACCAGTGATGCAATCCCACATTACACTGGCAGAATCAGCAGCAGCTCATTAAGATATGGGTCACATAAATCTTGCTTATGTCTAGATTACACAGAGCCATGCATAGAGGGGGGAGGAGATGTGGTGAGTAGTGGGGTGAACTCACCTGCCTTGGTGAAAAGCCAAGCCAATGAGGTGCACTAAAGCAAAATGCAAGGGGAAGCAGGGCAATTCCACCACTGGCTCCCTTCCCTTGGTGGTTTCTTCTCTCCTCCTTGTCCTTCCTGCCACCCCCACCCCATTCCTTTGTGCCAAGTCTTTTTAGATTGCAACATGGTCTTTATTTAAATTTGATGCAAATCAATTACTTGGCTGAGTAGTAGGATTTAAAAAGATCCAAATAAATAAAACAGTAAATAAATGAGTAAGTATAGATAATGACCTGTCAAAGCATGAGTTCAAAGAACTAGCTGAAATTCAGCAGTAATGTCAGCCAGGCCACAATCTTTGAGGATACTTCAAACAAAGGCAATTTAAAAAGAAATGGCAGTTTGTCGATTGGCTGTCGGTTTGGCTAATGTGTGAATTTTTTTTCATTTTATATCTTATTGAATTGGTATCAAGAATAAAATAAGGTAAAGGATACAGTAGGACCTCCATATCCACGGGATCATTATCTGCAGTTTTACTTATTAAAAACTGGACATCTGCAAAGAGATTGTGCCTGGCTCACAAAACTGATTCTCAATGCTTGGGTTGCCAGCTGAACATGACTGCTTTAGGAGACGAGACAAATATTTAAGAGGGTGTGCATGAAATGATTTTTTTAAAAGGGCTTACTGTCAAGTTGTTGATGCCTTCAGAAAATGCACCTATTTGCCTCACGGTACCTTCTGAATCTTCCATCTACAAGACAGAAACAGTCACTGTTCACATGCAATATTCACATAATTGTATCCATTCTTCATACAGCTGTATTAAACAGAAACACCACCCAGAAGCATTTCTTGGCTACAGCAGAACCTCTGAAATGTCAAATGCTTTTTTATGGCCTCGGGCAGTACCTGAGTACGAAGACAAGGGTTCAGGAACCCTTTTCAACAAGGCAGGTTAGGAGATCAGTTTTTCAAGCCAGATTCACAAACTCTGCCCCTACTCGAGAAACCAGAGATGAATAGAATGTCTGGCTGTGCCCCTTGTGGTTTGTTGCCCATCCCAAAAATCAAATAAGCAGCAAATTCAAGACACAGAGCAGTAGCCACATAAGGAACCAGAGACCAGGCAGCGGAAGCAACTGCCTGCAGCCAATCCATAGAGGTAGCCAACTAATTCTGGAGCTTCACCTAAAGAACACTGCACAGAACATCAGAAGTGAGCACTGAATAGATAAGAGAAACCACCACCACACCAGTGTCTTTTCTCTGCCAAAAAGGAGAGAGAGGCTGCAGACCAGACATTTTTTGTGGATAATGTTGGAGCACTCTCTTGTACCCACTCTTTTGAAATTGTTGTGAGGACTGAAAAATGGGAAGATCCCATGTGCATCAGTTTAAACTTCTTAAAATGAGAGTGGGAAGCCACTGGCTCCTCATGTTTATTGGAATACAACTCCTATTAACCTTGGTCAGCATTGCCCAACATCGGGGGGGGGGGTCTATTGGAATCCAACTCCTATTAACCTTGGACAGCATTGCCCAACATCAGGGGGGGAAATGGGAGATTAACTCCAGCACCATGGTAAAGACTGCAGATTCCCTGTCATAAAGGAAAGGTCAGTAATAAATATAAAGAAGATTTTTGATATTCAGATTTCTTCTGTCAATTATAACAAAAAGAGAATGTATATGAATAGCTCCTGTGCAGGCTTATTATGAGCCAGATTTTATAGCAGTGATATACAACTGCTGAGAAATACATTGGCCAGGAGAAAATTGAGAAATGCATTGAAATATCAAGAGATACAGATAACTTGCACACAAACATATGCATTTTTTGCAATTTAGCCCAAGATACACTTGAAGTACAACTATTATTACCTCCTCCAGTCTGTCCAGATCATCATCATCATACACTCTGATATCTAAGCCTTGCTTAAACCCTTTCTTTGACCCAATTCCTGATGCCTGTCCCAAGTCCATTGGGCACACATACTCTTCTCCATCGTCTTGCTTCTTCTTTCTTAAATTTCCGAAATTACTAAAAGCAAGTTTCTTTGGCTAAAAGAGACAAATCGCATAAAATGCTAAGTGGACTGGCAATGTTATGTTCCTTATGGCATTCATGAAATTACGTAGGTTTTCTAACAAAAATAAGTAATACCATTACCACAATAGGCAGGTTGATATGCAGATAAAATCCCTCAAAATCAAATATTCTGATATCATGGTTTTCTCAATACTTGTATGTGACGTACACTGGTTACCCTTTTATCAATCTTGTATACTGGTTACCCTTTTATCAATCACCCTTCTGCAAAAGCAAGGAAACAATGTAGAACACGAAGAGGGAACATTCTGTCCTTCAGATGTTTATGAAGTACTGCCCCCATAATGCCTTACATCACACAAGAATTGACACTAATGGGAAATGGAGCTCAATAACATTGAGGGGAGAGCAAGTAGTTTCTCTAATCCCCTGAACTACAAACTAAACCAAAGTTGGACTATTACTTTATCACTCAGTATTTTCTACTAGCCCCTGAAAAGACCATAAATGAAACTGCATTCTGGACTGCCATAAAAGCACACTGTCAATGTAATAATACTGTAGGTCATATAATTATATCCTAGCCTATGTAACAAAGCTGACAAATACCTTTACTTTGGCAGTAGCTGTTAAGAGGACATAATCCGGAGATTCCATGGCTTCACACTTTTGCTGCTGAGCCTCTTGACCTATCAGCAAATTAAAATGGGTTGCCAAGTGCCGCCTGAGCAGTGTCTTATTTGGTGGGATATTAAGCAGCTGTGCCATGGTCTCTACATTGAAACGAGGTTCCAAAACCTGAATGGCAAGATAGAATTCAGAATTGAAGGCAGATTTGCATTGTCTTCAGATTAAGAAACTTTTCATCCCTCTCTTAAGATCTGCATCATCTAGAATCTTTAAAAATTATGGAAACCAAAACATTATTGTATTTACAAAACATCTATGATAGAATTACTGAGATTTAGAGAGACAAACTTTTTAAAGCAACAATCTATGTCTATGGTATTTTGGGATTATTTGATCAAGAGACTTACCATTAGCCCACCATGAACCCCACTTCCCCTCAAATTTGGAGCATATTCTGCAAGGTCAACAGAACGCAGCCATTCCATCACCCGATGATTAGTCCACTGTGAAACTTCTGATGGGGTGATGTTATTCTACCAATGAAAATCACATTACATCAGACATCACACACTCCTTCAGAAACACACTTCAGTTCTGCAATTAACTCAATCTCGTATTTCTTATATTAAGCAGCTAATCTCTCTCTTTTGAAGCACAACCATTATGAACCGAACTATCTGATCCAAAGGCTCACATAATCGAATGGCAAACTGTGGCTCTGAAATTTAGGGATTTGGGACTGAATGTTCGAAGCATATATATGTACAGAAATTACTCAAATTTGCCACATTTTTCCACCCCACAATTCAAAATCTAGCAATAATCCTTTATTATGTGAGATTACTTGGTTTGAAACTTTACTGAGCATTAAACCATAGTATTCTCTATGCATTAGGTGTCCTCATGTACATGTATCTGAAAAACTGAACACCTACTCAATTTAAAGGATGGTCCTCAATCAGAGGTGACTTTTTTTTTCAAATTTCTATTTCTGCAGCCCTATGTTGATACAGAAATAAATCAATAAAGACCCACAAAGGTTGATGGGGCAGCTAATGGACTTCATTCAGTATGTTAGGTTGCAACTAATGGGAGTGTGACATAGGTGAAGTATAATATGCTTCTCAAAAACATTACTACATAATACATTCCTCTAAGATGAGATTACTGTGAAACAGCAATTCATATTTCTGTTTGTTCATTTTGCTTCCAGTGCTGTCCACCTCCAATCTAAACATGTTAAATATTTGTCTCAAGTTAATATTTGGCCAAGACTCTTTTACAACAGCTAAGGAAGCAAATGTTTAGGAAGGGAAAAGATGCTAGAGATTTAAACTTCATTCACTTATTTCCCTAATTTCCAAGAGGTTAAAAAAAACTTTTTCAGACTGATTTTACTGTACTTTAGAAGATCAGCACTAATAGGAATGGCAAGGAACATATTTGGGTTAAATATTCAGGGAAGCTTTCTAACAGTAAGCCCTGTTCAACAATACTGTGGAAGTATTCAAGCAGGGAAATCCTGGATAGCCATCTGTCAAGGATGCCGTATTTAACGATTCCTTGTTGTAGAAACTGTTGATTTCCAAGTTCCCTTCCAATTCTAACATTAAATTATTCTATTACTGGAGTGTGTGTTGGTTGCTCCCCACTTCTAAACTAGACTAGCAGCACATCATAAGGAAGTCTATGATAGATTACCATAAGGAGGGACATGATACACTAGCTTTCTGTAAGCAGAAGTTCTTAATGCAGGAGATCAGTCAGACTGGTTATTTCTTGCGTTCCATCTCTACTAGTACAGTCAAAACAAAAAATCTGTATCATGTGATTGTTTCCATCCTCATTTTCATACAATTGCTGGCCAGCAAATATTCTGCAGGAAGGGCTCAATATAAAAGGAAGCACAAGGTGAACTGTATTCCTGTGGCATAGGTTTATGGGCTTGGAAGTGGAAGAAAGTAGTGAAGAGAAAGGCATTTAGTATAGAATATAGAGAGGAATCCACACAACAAACTTAAAGAGTCCATAAGTGAAAGGAAAGGAAAGGCTCAGAATACACAAGGCAAGTAAAATTCTCAAGTGGAATTTTGGAAGAAAACATACACTAGCACTATTCGCCATGACGTGCATTGTCAGTATTAGAAAAGATTACCTCATCTGATGGTCTCCTGCGCAGACAGTTGGGTTCAAAGTTATTTATTCTTAGCACTTGGATGGCACGTTTGATGCTAAGATGGTGAAGGACACTCACAACTTTCAAAGACAGCAAGTCATCCTGAAAAGGGTGATGTGAAAAAGACATATTGCTGAGACCAAGAATAAAGACACAAGAAAAACTGTTGGAGAATTTTTTCTTCCCCTGGAGAACAAGAAAGGCCTTCCTCCCTGGCACTTCTCTACCCACAAATAGAGTGAAGAATTTCAAAAGGGTCTCTGTACACAGCTAGAGCCATCAGGCATCTTTGTAGCCTGTTGTAAGCTCATCCCTGCAGGAAACAATAAGTACAGCTCCCAGGACAACTGAAACATGGGCTCCATTCTATATGGTCCCATTGTTATTACTCGTCAACTGTAAAATGAATAGCATACATGCATGGGAGGGATTAAACAATACAAGTCCTGTTCTATCAAGATATTGTAATAGGCAGCACGGAGGAATATGAAAAGTTGTTTTATGGCTGCAGGAGAACTCTGGGGAGAGCATACAAAAATGCCAAAGCCTCACGTATGAGAAAAAGAAGGTGGAAATATTTGTGGAGGGTGAAGTTCAAGTTTAGTACTGTGAACAAGAACACTGGTGAAGATACATGACAGTGGCTTACAATGGTCATATAATGAAGCATTCGTCCATCCACCTTTCCTTCATCAAATTGTGTCTTATACTGGGGCAATCCAATATCATCCAGCCATCCTGAAGAAAAAAAAACAAAGATGACTGTGATTACGTCTGAACAATCAAAAGATGGGTGCAACAGCTTCATATACAGCTAAGACACCTGTTGTGTCAGACATGTTTAATGATGTGAGCAAGAAATTGATTTTGTATGCATTACATGCTTTTTTTATTGTCCTTGAAAAGACAATTCATTCTGGGTTGTGATTGTAACAGCATTGTATTTCCTACAGTATATTTCCACAAGACAATGGAAGAAGTGCATGGAAACATATAGGATACCATGGCGTACACGATACAGATTTCAGCTGACAGTTTCATATTAATTTGTTTGTTTTATTTCAAAGGAAATTCTTGATCATTGTGATAGCAAAAGTGTGTTTGAAATTACAATGGCCAATAGCTGTTGAAACCTCAGAAGCCAAAAGGCCTCCTTATAACTAGCAAAGCCAGAACTAAGCACAACAGTAAAGGTGGCAAAATAAATCAGGAAACATTAATTTATTGTGGAAACCACAGATATACTTAAAAGGAGACATGCTGCATGGAAAGAAAACATTACTACTAATGCAATGCAAGATCAGGATCATCCTGGTACAGTACATGTAATTAATTTCTCTGTCCTTGTTGAATTTTGTTGTTGTTGTCTAATTAGAGCAGTTTTGGAAGTGGCTACTTAAAACCCTGTTTGTATAATTAAACAAACACACAATCTTATACTGAACTGACCAAACTGTGTAGCACTGAGAGCAAGAGTGGTGAAGGGGAACTCACCATTTTCCAGATGTTATTAGTCTCCAACTACTGGTTCAGCAGCATGGCCAAGGCAAGTGATGACTATAGTGTAATGAACACCTGGAGGCCCACAGATTCACCACCCTTTCTGAAGGTTGGTGTTGCCAATGCTTTCAAATTACCAGTACAGCATTACAAACCCTTGTTTCTACAGTTTACTCAAATCCCTGATTGTAAAATAAACATCCCCAACACCTTGATCCAATATACATGCAGGCATTTTTTTGACAGCTCATGAAGGTGCAGATAGACATACTAACTCCTTATTGCATCAAGGAAAAGTAGGGGAAAAGGAGGGGGGAGGGACAACTTACTTGTAACCCAGTTGTAATCCAGCTTCCCATGATTGTTCTCTTCTTCTGATCCTAATGCCTGAAGAGCAAGCTGGAGCTTTTTCCGATGCAGTGGATGCTTTATTCCAAGCTCCTACAAAAGGACCACCAAACTTTTTAAAATATATCTTTTATATTTTCTCTAAAAAGGCTAGAAGCTTAAAGTGTATGTAATAAATGCTTTTGTTTAGTATCTGTATCAAGTTTATACAGCAGTAGGCAATACATTTGTATTTTTGCCACTCATATTACAGAATGTTTGGACATGACAGAAAAATTCAACCAATCTCAACTTTGTATAAATAACATTCAAACCAATTAAAATGTGTATTGAATTGCATTTATAAAAGCCACAACTGACTTCAGGTTTTGTTTGCTTTTTGTTAAAGAGGGGTTGTTGTTTCTGTTATGTGCTGTCAAGATCAGACTTATAGTGACCCTAATTCAGTTTTCAAGGTAAATGAAATAATTAAAAGGAGTGGCTGTACCTGTTCCAGTCCTCAATGAGTTTCCATGGCAAAGCCAGGGAATCAAACCCTGATTTCCTGAGTCTTAGTTTGTTACTCTGTCCACTACATCACACTATGTACCGCAAGGGGGTTAGGTGATGATAAAAAGATGGGGAGATATGAGGGCTTCTCAAGAATCAAAATGATGATATGATGCAGAAATAGTTGGGAAAAACAGGTGTACTTTAAACATAACAAAATCTGCATTCAGTTCCATGCCATGACTACCTAATGTGTACATACACAGTAATTAAACAACACAAAAAGTTCCTTTAAAACCTTATGTAAGGCTTTACACAATTCTTAAGAAATCCATAATGGTGGTGATTGAGAACCGTGATGTTTTTCACTAAAGTCCTTCTTGAATCTTTATCAGATCTAATTTATTTTTATTATGCAACATCATCATCATTACAATACAAGTATGCTTCAGAGCCTTACCTTTTCCAAATCAGACTGAGAAGCTTGCAAGAGAGTCTGACCACAGAGTATCCAGTGTTTTCCATTACCTATGTAAGAACCCAAGCCTTGCTCCTGAAGCCAACTGCAAACTTGTTCCTTTGTCCATTTAGCAAATGGCATGTCCAAATCACTAAAATGGGGGATAAAAAACTCAAACTGAAACCAAGATACACTGCGTAATGTAAGTAAGACCCATTCATGACAGAGGCAGGGATCATGAGAAAGTGTTGATGGAAAAATCAGATGTGCCTAACTCTTATGACATGTGGGCTTAACTTGGTCACAGTTCTGTACCTATGCTTTCCAGCACTACTCATTAAAATAATATGAAATAATGAGATTTATCACATTATAGCTTTCAACTAAGTGCCTTTTGACATGTTTTCTTCAATCAAATCTACATAAAATCGAAGTTTTAATATGGAGTCATAAGATGCATCTCAAAGCATGACACAGGGAAAAAAAACAAAGGTGAAGTTACAGTTTATCCAAAGCAACTGTGGAAAAATTTCATTATATAAAAAAACAGAACCCCATCAATTTTGACCTTTTTTTTTACTGAAAGATGCTTGGAAATGGCTAAACAAACAAACAAGATGATCCATATTTTATTTTTACAATAAACTGTAAACCTCTTTAGGAGGAAAAAGTGGACTACCACCTCAGATACAGCAGCTCAGTCTACAGATGTAAGCAGAGGTTGTTTTTTTCCCCATTATGGCAAAATCATTCCTCTAGCAAGCTTATGCTCTGACTTGGAAAAGTACAGTTGTGTTCAAAATTATTCAAATGCTCAGACTTGGAAAAGTATTCCCCATGTTAGCTCAATGTGTTGTGTCTTACTTATTGGTTTGTCCAAGATCTCTTGACCAGCCCAGTCTTGGTCCTGCAGTTGCTCTTGTTCCTCCCCTCTTGAACTCAGTCTCTGTAATATCATCTGGATTAAATGTAGTAGACTGGCTTCTTCGGAGTCTAAGAAAAGGCAAGCAGAGAGAGAAGGGAGAGGAAAAAGTAACAGTTGAAGAGACCAGAAGAAATCTCAGAAGCCAAAAGGACGGATCATAGTCCTTGGGGTTCAAGCTTTAGCTTCTCATGCCTCCTTATAATTAGCAAAGCCAGAACTGAATCTGAATCAATTTATTGTCATTTAACCTATATATATCGTATACACATACAACGAAATTCACAAAGAACACTCGGAGACCAGACCAAAAAGACACACACACCCCCTCATAACAATCCCTAAATCCCAGAGCCCCACCTAAAATTCACAGTATCCACACAACATACAACACAACAGACCAAGTAATAGTAATACAGTCCAACAACTCACTGCTGATAATTCTTGTTTCTTATTTAGTGCAGTTATAGCTCTAGGATAAAAACTGTTCAAAAATGTGTTGTCCAAGTTTTAATTGCTCTGTATCTTCGGCTTGAAGGCAACAGTTCAAAGAAGATGTAAGCAGGGTGGGAAGAGTCTTTGAGAATATTTATTGAGATGCAAAGACGTTGGCCAAGGTTGGAAGCTGAAGTCCAATAATATTTTGGGCAATTCTAGTAATTCTCTGTAAAACTTTTTTGCCCATTTCAGAGCAACTCCCATAACATGAGAGGATGCCATATGTTACGACACTCTCTATGGTACTAAGATAGTAGAAGAGAAGTAAATGCTGAGACAGATTTATCTTCCTGAGCAGTCTCAGGAAATACAGCCTCTTCTGTGCCTTCTTCACCAGCATATTAGCATTTGTAGACCATGAGAGGTCCTCCGAAATATAGATACCCAAAATTTTAAAACTCCTAACCACCTCTTCACCATTTACGTACAGGGGAAAGGTCCTTTTATAATTCCCAAATTCTGGCTAGGGTGACCAGTATATCACAAAGGCTGTCCCAAATGCATCATTCTCTCACAGGCACTTAAAAAACATCTGTACATGCTGTATCATAGCTAGATTACAAGTGTGAAGGTTTGGAAAGAGAAGACTCAGTAATGTGTACCAGAGGAAAAATGCAGAGCAGTCACTATGAAAAGTTTGCGCATTCCATCGATGGAAGTACATTTTAGCAGAACTGACCTACTTCAACCATTGACATGACTCACTCATTAGCAAATTAACTTAAAAAACATCTGTACATGCTGTATCATAGCTAGATTACAAGTGTGAAGGTTTGGAAAGAGAAGACTCAGTAATGTGTACCAGAGGAAAAATGCAGAGCAGTCACTATGAAAAGTTTGCGCATTCCATCGATGGAAGTACATTTTAGCAGAACTGACCTACTTCAACCATTGACATGACTCACTCATTAGCAAATTAACTGTTGCTGTATACATTCCATAGATGGAAGTACATTTTAAAATGACAGCAGAATTGACCTACTTCAAGCGTCGACATGACTCACTCATTAGCAAATTAACTGTTGCTGTATTCACTTGGGACACTTGCGTATGTATTGTTTTCTAGGAAATTCTTCCAAAACACTGGTTTAGAACTGGATGATGGCAGGGCAGGAAAACCACTGGTTACCTCTTATGGGCTAGTGAGCCATGTACCCTCCATCCCCAAACTCAACCTTTCTTTGAACCAGCCAACTGGTTCTCTTTTAACCAGAGTTTGAAAATGATTAGCATGGCCTGGTTAACATGAAGCCTGCCTGTGACTAAAAATGCTCATGTAATACTTAACCAGAGTGGAAGGGTAAACAGGATATTCAGATAAGAAGAGGGAGCATGCAATTCCGTGGTTCATTTACTATTCCCTAATTACAGTGAAGAAACCCCAGCATTGTAACTACACCAGTCCATAACCCAACCCATTATAATGCTCTGTGATGTTATATCGCAGCTGTGGTACCACAGACCACAGCTGCGATACAAGGATATCTGCAAGTGGGATCTGAAGGCCTTAAGAATGGACCTCAACAGATGGGAAACTTTGACATCTGAGTGTTTAGCCTGGAGGCAGGCAGTGCATCATGGCCTCTCCCAATTTGAAGAGACAGTAGTACAGCAGGCTGAGGCAAAGAGGCAGTCCCGAAACCAGTAAAACCAGGGATCTGGACAGGGGACAGATTGTATTTCTCTTCAGTCACTCTCGAATTGGCTTTCTCAGCCATACTTGACACTGTTCCAAGACTGCTCTCAGAGCACGTTACCATAGTCTCCCGAGACTGAAGGATGCCTACACGGATGTTATATCCTGATTACCTTCCAAACAGCTTCTTGATTCCTCTTGTTTTCTTCCTGGAGTCAGGGGAAGGTGGAGTCAGAGGCCCACCTTTTGTACCTTTGGGTCGAGGAGGTAAGCCAGCCAGATCTAGATGGTCTGCAGATCCTTTTTCTGTCTCAGCTTTCAAATAAAGGCAAACTTCAATTAACAGCATGAATCTGTAGCTCTTAAATTGGAGTCATTTAAAGCACCCATTTCTAATTTGTGAAATAACATTGACTAACTACCAATTCATGAGATTGTCCATTGAAAATGAGATATAAAAGTATTCTTTTTTAATGGGCACTTAATTAATTATTAATAAATCATCAGTGGATAATCTGCATTAGGACAGGCCTTTATCCAACCGTCTTCAGCACACAGAATGAAATTAATATAGTCCAAAGTCAAACCTGTGGTAAAAATGGATCTAACTGGATAGGAAACGTCCAAAAGGCAAAAGGTATCAATAATCACATTGGGAATCATATACGTATCCAAGGGATGGACCCAAAACACAAAAATTCAGTGAAAGTGAATAGTCATCTTAAGCCATTTATTCCTACACCTAATGTGTAATGGACTAACACTATTCTCCTGTAACTGTTAACAAACTTTGCTTTTCAGGCACTCACTTTAACATTTGCAAAGCAAAGATTGTAAGGAAGATAGCTGGAGACTCTTACCACATTCTTAGCAACTGTGTACTACTTTGGGGTCAACAACTATAAAGTTCAGCTGATAAACCTTTTACTAATATACTAATGCTTTGCTACTCGATGTTGCTGCTGTTATTACTTATACAAGTATAATACAACCAGCCCAGAGTTCCAAAAGTTTTTTCTATAAAATAATTACAATCCTGAGGCCCCAAAGTGTAGTTATTTATTCCTATAGTTACAATTTTTGTAAATAAATGAAACAGGTACAGTGGTGCCTCACAAGACGAGCGCCCCGTTTAACGACGAAATCACATTACAACGAACTTTTTGTGATCGCAAAAGCGATCGCAAAACGATGTTTCCTATGGGGGAATTTCGCTTTGCGATGATCGGTTCCCTGCTTCGGGAACCGATTCTCGCAAAACTATGATTTTCGGCCAGCTGATCGGTGGTTTCAAAATGGCTGCTGGGTTTAAAAAAATGGCTCCCTGCTCTTTTCTGGGATGGATTCTTCGCTACACGGGCAGCAAAAATGGCTGCGCTACGGAGGATCTTTGCTGGACGGTGAGTTTCAAGCCCATAGGAATGCATTAATGCGTTTCTATGGGCTTTTTAATTTCGCATTACGACGTTTTTGTTCTACAGTGATTTCGCTGGAACGAATTAACGTCGTAATGCAAGGCACCACTGTACATAAAAATTTGAAGCGAGGAAGGAAACATCATAATGATACAAGCTGCTGACCTATGATAGGAAACTTATCTAAACAACCTCTAGCACATTCTGTAACAACAAAACTAGCTTAAAACCATTATGCTGCAAAAGCAGGAGCATATACAGTATGTATATTCCCAGAGAAGCTAAAGTTTAATGGGCAAGAGCAATAAGAGTTTCAATATTAAACTATTTTTAAAAGCACATAACAGTGATAAAAATAAATTGTTATACAGCTTATCTTCAAGTTAGGCAAAGCAGAAGAAAAAACCTTGTGGTATATATGTGTTTTTTTTTATGAATACCAATAAAAGAAGAAAACATACAGCAATATTTTGCTATTTTGTCTCTTTATAGCTCAGGGGAAAAGAATTTCCAAAGGTTCTCTAATGCGGCTCTAATTCCCAGAATTCTTACACTCTCATTATAAACATGTTGTTTGGAAACAAATTTCATTGATTTTGTCCCCCC